CCGCCGCCGCCGCGCCCCCCCCGGGCCTCCCCGCGTGTACATAGCCTCGCGCCGCTAGGCGGGGATGGACCGCGGCGCCGCGGCGCCGCGCGGCGGCCCGCGCGTCGGCGCGACGAGGGGCCGCGCCTCGGGCGCGGGCACGGAGAGCGGCCGCGCGTCCGGCGCGGAGAGCGGCCGCGCCTCGGGCGGCGCGTCGCTCGGGGCCGCGTCGCCGAGGCCCCGGTCGCTGTCCGGCGTCGCTTTGATGAGGCAGGCCACCGCGGACGCGGGCGCGCCGCGGAGGAGCGCGGCGTGGACGGGCAGGCAGTTCATCGCGTCGGCCTGCGCGCACGCGGCCGGGTGCGCGCGCACGAGCGCGCCGAGCACGACGGGCGACGCGCCGACGGCCACGGCGACGTGGAGCGGCGTCGCCCAGGGCGCCGCCGTCGGACGCTTCGCCTGCGCCGCCGCGTTTCCGAAAAAAAAAAGAGGACGCGAAGCGGACGCCGGGCGCTTCGGACGAGGCCCGGGAACTGGTCCAGGAGCGCGATGGTCGCGGACCGCGCCTCGAGGAGGCCCGCGAGGTGCGGCGACGCCACGCGCGCGCCCGCGTAGGCGTTGCGCCGGAGCACGAGCGCGGCGACGAGGAGCGCGGGCTGGTCGATGCGGCCGACGCCGTCGGGGATGAGCTCGCCGTTGACGTCGCGCAGGGGCACCTCGAGGAGGAAGGGGCAGGGGTGCTTCGCCGCCTCGGGCCAGGCCTCGAGCAGGGCGACGACGACGGCGCACGACGCGCCCGTCTCGAGGGCGGCGTGCACGGGCAGCGCGAAGCGCCGGTCCTTGACGGCGGCCGCCGCGGGCTCGGCGCGGAGCACGGCGAGGACGACGGCGTCGCCGTGGCGGCCGTAGACCGCCGCGTGGAGCGCCGTGCCCGCGGCGGCGCGGCGGACGCGCGCGGCCGCGGGGCTCGCCGCGAGCACCGCGAGCACGGCCGGCGCGCCGTAGGACCGGGGCCGCGCCGCGTCGTAGGCCTCGAGGGCGACGTTGAGCGGGTAGAGGCCCGACGCGGTGCGGTCGCCTACCGGGCGCGTCGGTGCCGACGTCTCTCCGTTTTCCCGGCCAACAGCGCGCGGAACATCGTCGCGGGACGCCGGCGGTCGCAGTCGCGCGGCCGGCCCCGCAGCGCGGCGAGGACGACGGCGTCGGGCCTGGGCGGGAAAAGCGCGCGACGTTCCCAACTTTGGAGGCTCCCATCTCGGTCAGTTTCCACTCGTCGCGGCTCGTTTTTGGACGGGCGATGATCTCTCGGAGCGCTCTCGAAGCGCGGATCCTGCCTCTGGACCAATCGCGCGCGGCACACTCACGTTGAAGCGAACTCGAATCGCCCGGTTCCCGCCCCGGCGTCGGGCGCGCGGAGCGCGAGCGCCGCGTGGAGGGGCGTCGCGTTGACGAGCGCCCGCGCCAGCTGGGCCGGCGCGAAGCGCTCCTCCGCGGCGTAGGCCTCGTCGTCCGCCGCGTCGCCGAAGTAGCCGATCGCGGGCCGCGACGCCTGGCGGTCGCGCGACCGGAGCCGGAGGTAGAAGGCCTCGGCGCCGCCCTCGCAGCGCCGCTCGGCGATGTAGCGCGGCACGCCGGCCTCCCAGTGCGGGTTCCGCTCGCCGCGGGCGAGGACGACCATGTCCGCCTCGGCGGGCGGCGTGAAGGGCCCGTAGGGCAGGGGCAGCAGCATGCGGAAGTCGAGGTCCCGCGTCGACGACGCCGTCATCGTCGAGCTCCGGATGCTGTAGGGACTGTAGTCCACGGCCCGCGCGGGCAGGTGCGACGCGGCGAGGGCCATCGCACCTATCCTCACCGACCGCGGCGTCGAGGTACCATCAGTAGCTGCTTCGCTTCACCATCTCTTCAGTGACTTCACCTTGCCCCACACATCGACTTGTCTATGGCAGCTCTCGACGACGGCCCCTCCCACCACGCGGCCTGCGCCGTCGCGGACGACGGCAAGGCGAAGCCGCGGGACGAGCCCCTCACCGCTGCGGCGCTGCAGGCCGCGTGCGAGGGCAAGACGCACTCGCTCAAGGGCCTCGACGTCGCCGCGGTCACGGCGGACCTCGCCAAGCTGTCGCCCGCCGAGGCCGCGGCCCTCGCCGCGCGCATGGACGCGCTGCGGCCGAGCATCGACGTCGACGCCGCGGCGCGCAGCCTCCTGGACCCGCTCGCGCGCACGCGGTCCCTCGCGGACGCCGGCGACGCCCTGACCGTGGACGCGGCCTACGCGATCCAGAAGCGGTGCCGCCAGCTCCGCGAGGCCGGCGGCGAGCGCGTCGTCGGCCACAAGGTCGGCTGCGCGTCCGAAGCCGTGCGCGCGTCCCTGGGCGTCGGCGCGCCCGTGCGCGGCGACCTCTGGGAGCGCGAGCAGCGCGTCGACGGCGCCGTCGTCGCGCTCGCGCGCTTCGCGGACCTCGCCGTCGAGGGCGAGCTGTGCCTCGAGCTCTTCGCGACGTCGGGCGCCGTCGAGGACTGGCTCTGCGTCTACGCGCCGGTCATCGAGCTCCACCACGTCTACCGCAACTGCGCGCGGCCCCAGCGGGCCGCGGAGATCATCGCGAAGAACGCGCTCCACGCGGGCGTCGTCTGCGGCGTCGGCTGGTCGAAGCCGACGCGGCTCGGCGACGTGCCGCTCGACGTCGAGCTCAAGGTGACCATCGACGGCGTGCTGCGGGACGTCGCGACGCTGGGGGGGCTGGACGTGGGCGGCGCGCGGGGCGTCGCCGGCACGGTCCGCTGGCTCGCCGACGCGCTCGCCGCGGACGGCGCGGGCCTCCGGCCGGGGTCGCGCGTGCTCGCGGCGACGCCCGGCGCGCTCATCCCCCTCGCCGCCGCGGACAAGGCGGTCGTCGTCTCCTTCGGGAGCCAGGTCGTGTCCATGGCCGTCGGCGACGACGACGCCGCGGACGACGCGCCGAACCCGCGCGCCGAGACGGAGGCGAGCGGCCACATGGCCTGGGGCGACGCGACGTAGGCGGGGGGCGCGCGCGGCTAGAGCGCGCGGCCCACGCCGGCGCCCTCGGGCCCCCGACCGGCCCGGCGGTCGCGGTCGGCGGCGGCGCGGGGGGGAGCTCGCTCGGGGGCCTTACGAGCCTAGAGGTCGTGGTCGGCGATGTCGGGCGCGCCGAGCTTGGAGAAGAAGGTCGCGACGCGGTTGTGGTGGTTCTGCTTCGCGATCCACAGCGCGGACGAGCCGGAGATGGTCGTGTCCGCGATGTTCGCGCCGTGCTCCACGAGGAACTCGACGGTCTCGAGGTCCCCGGCGCGCGCGGCCTCGTGGAGGGGCGTCCAGAGGTTCTCGTCGGGCGCGTTGACGGCGTCCGGGTCGCGCTCGAGCTCGCGGCGGAGCGTGTCGACGTCGCCGTTCGCCGCGGCCGCGTGGAGGCTCAGCGTGCCCGTCGCGAAGGCGTCGGCGCCGAAGTCCTCGCCGCCGACGACCTGGTGGCCCGGCTCCTCGTTGAGCGCGGCCTTGGGCGCGCGCGGCGGGCCGCCCCGCGCCGCGCGCGCCGCGCGGCCCTCGAGCGAGCCGGGCTTCGGGAGCGGCGCGCCGCCCTCCTCGACCGTGCGGTGGTCGTAGGCGCCGGTCTGGGCCAGGGGCTTGGCGCCCGTGTCGTGGCGCGCGGCGGCCGCGCGGGCCCAGCCGAGGCTCACGTTGTGCGGCGCGGGTTTCGGCATGTCGGCGAGCCGCTGCCGCGCCTCCGCGAGCTTCGCGGGCTGCGCGCGCTCGATGCGCGCGTTCTTCGTCCAGGAGAAGTCGATGTCCGGGTGGTTCTGGTTGTGGTCGTTGGGGTCCACGGGGATGAAGTGGACGAAGACGTTCGCGAAGAAGTTGCCCTTCAACGGAAAGGGCCGGCCGTGGAGCACGGTGTGGCTCTCGTAGAGCGCCATGTCGCCGGGCTCCAGCGTCACGTTGTAGGCGACGCCGTCGTGGCCCACGACCTCGATGGGCCAGGGCTCGTCGACGTCCTGGTCCACGTTGATGATGCACGACGTCACGAGCGGCAGCCGGTCGACGTGCGTCGCGAGGATGCCGCCGCGGAAGTACTTGCGGATGCCGTAGAGCGACGTCGGCTTGAGGGTCTGGCCCGTCCACGCCTCGAGGATGGGCTTCGCGCCGGCCCAGATCTTGTCCTTGGTCCGCAGGCCCAGCGGCTGCCAGCGCCGGTCCTCGAGGCTCACCATGTGGCTGTCGGCCTTCCAGTGGTTCACGTACGTGTTCCCCGCGGGCCACGCCTCGGACGTGCCGCTGTCCTTGTGCAGGTCCCAGAAGGCGCGGGCCGGGCCGTAGACGTTCTCGGGGGCCCGGATCTTCGCGAAGCCGAGCTCCGTGAAGTTCCGCTGCCGCGGGATCTGGTCGCGGTTCATGGCCATGCGGCTCTCCTCGTTGCTCCGGCACGAGCCCATCTTGAACTTGTTCGCGCAGCCGTTGATGAACTCCTTGTACATGGCGTCGCCCCAGGTGCCCTTGGGGATGTCGTGGTGCATGGGGAAGGACGTGTCGACGCCGTAGCCCTCGGACGTGTAGCCGTCGCCCGTCCGTCTCACGAGGGGCGCCTCCGCCTCCTTCCGCGTCATGTCGAAGAGCGACCCGCGCGCGACGAGCGGCGCGCAGAGGAGCAGGACGAGCGTCGCGTGTGGCCGTGTCATGGCCATCGCTTTGCTTTTTGGATGCCGTCGGCACCGCATCGAGCGCCGGGTTTGTTGCGCGCACCGCGCCGCGCAGGCTCGCGCGCGCGTACGCGTCCAGACACATGAGCCAAACTCCTGGAGTCCACGCGCGTCGCGCACTCCTGCCCGACGCTGTTCACGTTTCGCGTTCCGGCCGCCGCGGTCAACGCGTGGGCGACGAGATCCGCCTTCGCGGTCGTGTCCACAGTTCTCGCGTTCGCCGAGCCGTTCCTGCGCCAGCGCGCCGGCCTCACCCCGGGCCCCGAGTCGCGCGGGCAGGCCCTCATCCGCGCCGTCGAGCGCGCGCGCTGGACCCCGAAAGGCTTCTTCCACACGTGTTGCTTCCCGCGCGCGGCTACCCACAACAAAGCGTCAACAAAGCGTCAACAAAAAGAACATGCTTGCGCAATTCCAAGGGAGGCAAGAGTAGCACGCTGAGCGGCGCTGAGAGTCGCGCTTAGAGGGTAGACCGTGGGCGTGGCCGACGGCGCCGTGGGGCTCGTCGTCGAGGTCGACGGTGTCGACGTCGGCGACGCCGACGGCGCGGGCCGCGGAACGCGCGACGGCGCGAACTCCCAGAGCAACAATGCCCAAAAAGGTCGTGCTGCTCGGCGACTTCGGCGTCGGCAAGACGTCCTTTGGCCTGCGGCTCTCGGAAGATCGCTTCGAGGAGACGACGATCGCGACGCTCGGGGTGGCGCATTTCACGTGCAAGGTCGCGGGCCTGACGCCCTTTTCCGCGGCGACGAAGCTCGAGGTCTGGGACACGGCGGGCCAGGAGCGGTACCGGAGCCTGGACTCGCTGCGGCTCTACCTGCGGCGCGCGCTCGGCGCGATCGTCGTCGTCGACGTCACGAGCGCGGGCTCGCTCGAGGCCGCGAAGCGCGTCGTGTCGCAGCTGCGGCTCGACGAGGACTGCGCGGCGAGGGAAGATCTGGCCATCGCCGTCGCGTACAACAAGTGCGACTTCGAGGCCCGCGCCTTCGACCCCGCGGCCGTCGCGTGGACGGGCGTCTGCGCGGCGGTCGAGACGTCGTGCAAGACGGGCGCGGGCGTCCAGCAGCTCGCGCGCGCGCTCGTCGACGCGCTCCCCGCGGACGACGCGGCGGCGGCGACGAGCAACGTCGGCCTGACGCAGCCCGGCGCGAGTCTCACCTCCGGGAGCGACTGCTGCTAACGCGGGTAGGACGCGCGCCCGCGAAGGCGCGCCCGCGCCCGCCCCCCTGCTCACGCGCCGAGTAACGCGTTAGCCCGCGAAGGTGCAGCCGCACTCGACGGCGGGCCCGTCGTCGACGAGGACCGCGTCGTCGACGACGAGGGTCGCGCGGTCCAGCGCGCCGCGCGCGATGTCGCGGAGCTCGGCCTTGGCCGCGGCGCCGAGCGCGGCCGTCATCGTCGCGAAGGGCCCGCGCGCGCGGTCGAGGAGCTCGAGCGGCGGCCCCTGCTCGGCGATGGTGCCCCGGTCCATGACGACGATGCGGTCGAAGCCGATGACCGTGTGGAGCCGGTGCGCGATGGCGAGGAGCGTCGACCGCGGGAACTGGGTCTCGACGACGGCCTGGATCTTCGCGTCCGTGCTCGCGTCGACGTGCGCCGTCGCCTCGTCGAAGGCGACGACCGCCGACTTGCGGAGCAGCGCGCGCGCGAGGGCCAGCAGCTGGCGCTCGCCCGTCGACAGCGACGTCTCGCCGAGGAACGCGTGGAGCAGCGACCGCGCGAGGCCCACGGCCTCGAGCGCGTCGGCCACGGCGCCCTCCGCGAACTCGTCGAAGGGGTCGCAGTTGTCCTTGGCCGTGCCGCTCATGAGCACGGCCTCCTGCGGGATCATGCAGAGCCGCCGCCGCAGCAGCCGCAGCCCGAGCTTGGCGACGTCGACGCCGTCGACGCGGACGACGCCCGACGCGACGTCGACGAGGCGGAAGAGGGCCACGAGCAGCGTCGACTTGCCCGCGCCGGTGCGGCCGACGACGCCGACCTTGGCGCCCGCGGCGACGTCGAAGGACGCGTCCCGGAGGCTGAGCGGCAGGCCCGGCCGGTAGCGCAGGCACACGTCGACGAACTCGACGCGCCCGGACGCGGGCCAGGGCGCGCCCGGCGCGTCCGCGAGCGCGTCGAGGTCGCCGTCGCGCGCGGGCTCCTGGGGCACGACGCCGCCGTCCTCCTTGGGCAGGTACTCCGCGACGCGCTCCAGGGACGTCGCCATGATGGACATCTGCAGGTAGACCTCGGACATCATCGACGCGAAGTAGGGCGACACGAGCGCGTAGGTCAGCGCCACGGGCGCGACGTCGTCGGACACGACGCCCGGCACGAGCGCGATGAGCAGCGCCGCGGACAGCGCCATGAGCGAGCACCAGAGGGTGGCCGACCCGTAGGCGGCCTGGCTGATGCAGGTCGATTGGAAGAAGCCCCCGAGCATGGCGTCGACGTGCCGCCGCTGCCGCTCGCGGAAGAACGCGCCGCAGCGCAGCGCGCGGCTCACGACGCGGCCCCGCGCCATCTCCGCCGCCGTCGTCACCGTCGGCGACACGGCGTTGTTCGCGATGCGCTTCACGTCGCGGTTCGCCGTGTTGATGACGTTGAGCGTCCGGATGAGGCCGACGGACACGAACAGGTTGATCGGGATGAGGTAGGGCACGATCGCGGAGATCATGACGACGAGCATGAAGAACATCGTCGCCATGGACAGGAACCCGTCGAACATGTTGCCCCAGTCGATGTCGACGACGTCGAAGTCCGCCGCGAAGCGCGAGAGGATGCGCCCGCTCGGGTTCGCCTCGAACCAGGACACGGGCGCGCCGAGCACCGTCTTCAGCGTCTGCCGGTGCAGGCCCCGCGACCCGCGCGCGGTCCAGACGACGCCCGCGAGGCTCGACGAGATGAGCACGCACAGGTAGCACACGCAGCCGACGGCGTAGGCCACGGGGTAGGCCGTCCTCGTCGACCGCGAGCCCGTCCACCTGGCGAGGATGACGTCGCTGCCGGCGAGGATCGCGCCCGCGAAGCAGTAGCCGAAGACGATGGCCCCGATGCGCCAGTAGCCCACGGCGCGGAAGAAGGTCAGGAGCACCTTGGCGGACACGACGCCCCGCGCGACCTTCTCCTTCTTCACGAGCGCGTCGGCCTTGTCCTCGTCGAGCGCGCGGCCTCGCGCCTTCGGCGTCTCCGGCGCGACGAGCTCGTCGACGGATTTCGACGGCGCGTCGCCGCCGCCGCCCGCGAGCGCGTCCCTGACGAAGGCGCCGAAGCTGCCCTCGTCCCAGGCCTTGGCCGCGAGCGCCGCCGCGGGCCCGTCCGCGAGGACCGCGCCGTCGTCGACGAGGACGACCTGGTCGCACTCCGGCAGGAAGTGGAGCTGCGAGAGGACCAGCACGGCGGCCCGCTTCGGGTCGTCGCGCGTCCAGGCCTTGACGCCGTCGAAGATGCGCCGCGCGACCGCGGCGTCGACGGCGGCGAGCGACGCGTCGAGCAGCAGGAGCCGCGGGTCGCCGTAGGCCGCGCGCGCGACGCCCAGGCGGTGCTGCTGGCCGCCGGAGAGCGTCGTGCCCCGCTCGCCGACGACCGTGTCGCGGCCGTCGGGCAGGAGCTCGAGGTCGCGCTCGAACGCCGCCAGATTCACGGCCTTGGCGAACGCGGCCTCGTCGAGCGCGCGGCCGAGGAGCACGTTCTCGAGGATCGTGCCCGTCGCGACGAAGGGGTCCTGGGGCGCGTAGCCCACGGACGCGTCGCAGGTCACGTCGCCGGACGCCTCGACGCGGCCGAGCGCGGCCTCGACGGCCGTCGACTTGCCCGCGCCCACGGGCCCGACGACGGCGACGACGCTGCCCCGCCGCACGGTCAGGTCGTCGAGGGCCAGGGAAAAGGCCGGCTCGCCGGCCGGCTCCAGGAGCTCGTCCTTGGCCTCCTCGGCGAGCGCGGGCGCGGCCGCCGCGAGGCTCTCGGACGTCGTCCGCAGCGACCGCCGCCGCGCGGCCTTCGCCGCCGCCTCCGGCGCGGGCTCGAGGCTCGGGCTCCGCGCGCGGTCCTCGCCGTCGCGCGTCGCGACGACGCCGGCGAAGCGCAGCGCGACGTCGCCGGCTGCGGGCGCGGCGACGGCGGCGTCCTCGGGCCCGACGAGGACGTCGCCGATGCGCTGGAAGGTCTGGAGCATGGTGTTGACGAGCACGATGCAGAGCGGCAGCATGATCATGCCCACGCGCAGCGTCTGGAAGACCGCGAGCGCGCCGAAGGCCTTGGCCGCGGAGATCGTGCCCCCGCGCTGCGCGGCGACCGTGAGGATCGTGATCGCGCCCGCGACGACGGGGAAGCACTTGCCGATGTTCACGGACAGGATCACGTAGGCCCGGTAGGCCGTCGCGAGCTTGAGCTGCGCGTCGCGGCGGTCGCCGATCGCGTCGCGGTACTGCTCCTCCCACGCGTAGAACTTGACGGCCTTGATGCACTCCACGGCCTGCTTGACGCCCGCGACGCGCCGGTCCCGCGCCTTCATCATGGGCCGCTCGAGGCGCTTGCCGCCGAGCGTCAGCAGGCGCTGGCCGTTGAGCACGCAGACCATGCAGCCGAGGCAGACGAGCGACCCGACGCCGAGGAACGCGACGAGGATGCCCACGCCGCCGAGGAGCGCCGCGACGCCGCAGGGCAGCATGGCCAGGAACTTGACGAGGGAGAGCAGCCGCGGGAAGTCCGCGCCGTAGATCGCGTCGAGCGGCGGCGCCGCGGAGCCCGCGGCCCGGAGCCGGTCGGCCTTGCGCGCGAGGCACGCGTTCGCGCGCGCGACGAGGACGTGGGCGACGTTGCCCGCGAGGATCTGGCGCGAGTAGACGGCGCAGGCGCCCTCGGCGACGCTCACGGCGGCGAAGAGCAGCGCGCCCCGGAGCACCTCGGCGCGCGTGCCGTACTGCACGCCGTGGACGATCGACTGGAGCACGAGGAAGCGGCCGATGGTGCCGAGCAGCCCGCCCAGCGCCGAGATGGCCACGCCCGCGGCGCACCAGCGCCGCAGCCCCCCGTAGAGCTGGGACCGCACGAAGATGCGGCCAAGCTGCTGCCGCTTCGACCCCGCGAGCGACGCCGCCGTGCACTTGCGCGCTTTCTCGTAGGCGCCGAGCGCCGCGTCCCAGCGGGCGCAGGCCTCGGCGAAGAGCGCCTCGTTGCCCGACGACCGGAAGCTCGTCAGCGGCGCCGGCAGGTCCTCGGGCTCGAGCTCCGCGCGCCGCGACCGCCGGAGCGTGCCGAAGACGCCGCCGAGGCGCAGCGTCGCCTGGAACATCTCGCCCATGTTGCCTTCTGTTTTTGGCGACGCCGACGACGCTCGCCGGCGCGTCGCGGCCGCGCTCGCGTCGTGGTCCCGCGCTTTTCTGCTGTGGGCTTGTGACGATGTCTTCTTGTCGCTGCAAAATGCTGCAAAAATGGGCACTTTTTTCATGCTGGCAGAGACCAAAAAAAGAGAAAAAAAGAGGAAAAAAAAGAAAAAAATCGGCGCCGAAGGCGCCGGAACGGCGCCGGAGGCGCCGGAGAGGCGCCGAAGGCGCCGGAGGCGTAAAAGAAAGAAGGTGGGGACCTTGCTGCGTCCCTCGAACTCCGTGAGAGTAGTACCGAAGCACCATCATCATGAGTGGTCCTGTGCTCAGAAGATGCCCAAAATTGGCCTGTTTGGAAGTCAAACAGCCCAAAAAAGTAGCTGGCCTGCGACCAGCAAGCCCAGGAGGAGCCGTGAGGCTCCAGGGGCGTAGTTAGGAGAAACACAACGGGGCTGGCAGAAAGCCAGCTGGGCCAAGCTGCCGCTCAAACGAGCCATATTGGCATGAATTTAGGTGGAAATACAGCCGTTTTGGGACCCTGGGCGTGCCAAAAGGCTCTCTCTGCATCTGCCCAGCCTCCCGCGGCGACGTTCGTAACTGGGGATGGACGCGCGACCGGCAGAGGCCCCGAGCGAGGCGCGGACGGGGCCACATCAGGGCCGCGGTGGCCGTCCGCTGGTTCTCGGTCGCGACGATCTCGGCGAGCGTCGCGCGGCGCGCGGTCGTCCAAAACCGTGAGGGTCGCCCTCGACGAGCTCCATGATGCCGATGCGTCCGACGGAACACAGCGATGGTGATCGGTGGATGCAAAATTGCGCGCGGACGGCCGAGCGGCGCGTCCTCGCGCAACGGCGGAGCGAGTTCGCGGCGCGCCGCAGCCGGATTCCCAGCGATTTCCAACAATTTGTTGTTGGAGCGCGTCGAACAACATACGGTGGGCGTGTCTGGGCCGCCGGTACGGTCCACGGCGTCGGCGGGCGCCGCCCTGGCCCTCGGCGCCACGGTGTCGCGCTACGGCGGAGCGAGTTCGCGGCGCGCCGCGGCCGGATTCCCAGCGATTTCCAACGATCTTTCGGCGGAGCGCGTCGATTAACATACGGTGGGCGTGTGTGGGGCGCGGGTACGGTCCACGGCGTCGGCGGGCGCCGCTCTGGCCCCGGCGCCACGGCGTCGCGCTCGGTCCGAAACCGTTGCGGCTCGCGCCGCCGGCACCGAATTGCAGCGCGCCGCGGGTCAGCGGCGTCCATATGAACCCCTAGGACACGGTGTGACCGCCGGTGGGCCTCCAGGGGGCGCACACATCGCAAGACTTGGCCTGTCCGCGCCTCATCCTGAAGTGCGGACACTGTCCGCACTTCAGCTCCACCCCCGGCCAGCACGAAATAGGTGCCGTGTCCAAAAATGCCACTGAAGTTCACCACAGCGTCATCATACTTGTCACCATCATAAGCAAAACTAACCCTTGACGGAATAAACTTCACTGAGCTCGATGAACTTTGGGATATGAATGGCTGTGAGTGCACAGCCAATATTGAAGAAGATGCAAACTTTAAAACGAATGGCTCGCATCGTTTATGATATATACGTTGGGCAATTATAATCACTACGGCTCATTTCCTATATGTCTCCCCGGATGGCACTCAATGAGGCCTTCAATGCGACGCCGCACTGCCTCTTCACTGCCTCATGGACCCGGTTTTTACGCCCCCGTCTCCATCTTCACGACCGCGGGCTTCGCCTCGACGTCCATCGGGGCCGCGGGCGCGGGCCGCGCCGCGGCGCCGCGGCGTCGCCGCGCGAGGTCGTCGTCGCCGTCCGGCGGCTGCGACGCGCGGCGCACGAAGTCGCCGAGCGCGTCGAGGGCCGCGTCCGACGACAGGCCCAGGTGGCCGTCGTCGAGCGCGGCGCGGGCCCAGGCCGGGAGGTGCGCGCGCTTGTCGCGGCGCGCGAAGCGCGCGTCCGCGAGGAGCACGACGCCGAAGTCGCGCTTCGAGCCGCGGCGCACGAGGCCCGCCGCCGCCCGCATCGCGTCGAAGGCGAGGTAGTCGGCCTCGCGGATCTGGCGGTCGCGGAGCAGGTAGTCGAGGCGCGCGCGGAGCACCGGGTCCGCCGTCGGCCGGAACGGCAGCCCGACGAAGGCGACGCAGCGGCCGTAGTGGCCCGCGAAGGGCACGTGGCGCGCCGCGGCGCCCCGCGCCGACGCGAGGAGCAGGGCGCCCCGGCCCGCGTCGCAGGCGGCGCGGTAGGCCTCGAGCGCGGCCGCGGCGCCGCCCGCGGGGCCGTCGTCGTCCGCGACGAAGACGAGCTTGTGCTCGAGCGCGCGCCGCAGGACGCCGATCTCGTCCCAGACGGCGACGGCGAAGCGCAGGAACCCCGCCGTCGGGAAGAGGGCGACGACGCCGTCGGGCGTCTTCGCGCACGCGCCGGCGACGAGGTCGCCGTAGTTGCGGAGCGTCGCGCGGTCGCGCCGCGAGTCCGCCTTCGTCGACAGGGGCAGCTGGTCGCTGCCCTTGACGACGACGAGGGGCAGCACGCGCCGCGCGCCGCGCGCCGCGCGCGCCGCCACGGTGGCGAGCCGCGCGCCGTCGAGGCGCAGCAGCGCCGCCGCGAGCGGCGCCGCGGGCGCCGCGGAGCCCGCGAGGACGACGCTCGCGAACGCGGCGCGGACGGGCGCGAACGCGAGGGACGCGTCGAGGCACGCGAGCGTGACGCGGTCGCCGTCGCTCACGACGGCGAACCCCGGCCCGCCGCCGGCGACGAGGCCCGCGAACGCCGCGACCTTTCCGAGCTCCGGCGGCGCGGGCGCGCCGACGGCGGCCGCGAGCGCCGCGAGGCGCGCCGGCAGGAACGCGAGGGCCCGCGCCTCGAGCCCGGCCCGCGCGCGCAGATCCAGCAGGAACGCCGCCGCGCTCGCCGAGTTGTCGTCGCGCCGCGCGCGGTCGAGGTGCAGGCCGAAGACGCGGAGCGCGCGGAGGCAGTGCCGCGCCTTCCGCAGCGACCCCGGCGCGCCCGCCGCGAGCTGCGCGTCGTAGTCGGCGCGGAGCGCGTCGTCGCCGGCGCGGTCGCAGGCCCCGGCGAGCGTCGCGCAGCCCCGGCGCGCGGCCGCGAGGTCGGCTCCGGCGAGCGCGACGGTGAGCTGCCGCAGGCAGAGGTCGTCGACGTCGTGGCCGCCCGCGAAGACGCAGACGGCGCCCGGCGGCGCCGCGGGCCGCGCCGCGGGGTCGAGGACGTCGCGCGCGTCGACGACGACGACGTCCGCGGCGGCCGCGGCGCCCGCCGCGAAGCCGAGGCCGCCGGCGCCGTCGGGCGCGTAGACGCCCGCGCCGTGCGCGGCCCCGCGCCGCCGCGCCGCGACGCGCGCCCTCGCGGCGTCGGCGTCGAAGGGCGCGGGCGTCCGCAGCGCGCCGGCGACGTCGAGGCGCAGGCGGTCGAGCGCGTCCGCGGCGCCGCCGCCCCCCGCCATGCGGCGCCGCGTCGCCACCGCGAAGGCGAAGTCCGCGCCCGCCGCGCGGAGCCGTCGGCACGCGGCGGCGCACGCGTCCATGTCCGCGAGCGCGCGGCACGCGTAGACGAGGGGCCGCCCCAGCGCGACGGACATCGCGACGGCGCAGGCGCAGGCGCCGATGCCCGGCGGCGTCTCGACGATGCCCGGCGCGTTCGCGTCGAAGCACGCCTTGAGCGCCGCCATGTAGTCGAGCTGCTCGTCGTAGACGGCGTCGTAGGGCCAGAGCACGTCGACGCCGTCGATGTGCACGGTCATGCGCGGCGTGGCCTGCGCGAGGGCCGCCATCGCGCGCAACGCCACGAGCTTGGGTGGCGTGGACTTCACCGATCCGAGGCCATCGCGCGCCGCGAGAGCCGCTGGGCAAGCTTTGCGAGCATCGACCTCCGCTGAGGTTAACTGAGGCCCGCTGGAGGATTTTGTGGCATTTGTCCGAGTTGCAGCTCGACAGGATTTTGTGGGTGCGACATGATGGCATCGTCGCTAAGATCGTTGTCAAGCAGCCAGAATCCAGGCGCGAGTTGGGGCACGCACGTCCCGTCGTACAGCTGTAGAGAGCCTCACATTGAGGCCTACATTGCCTACACGTCGGCGGACCCTCGGGCGGTGTTACGTGGCGAGCTTCGCCCCCGAGGGCCGCCGCTTGCGGCCCGGCGTGCCCGCGCGGGACGCGACGGACGCGTCCGAGGGCCGGCGGCTCCGCTTGCCGCGCGCGGCGACCTGGACGCGCGTCCGGCGGCCGCGCGCGCCGGCCTGGAGCTTCGTCGCGGCGACGTGCGCGTCGGCGTACTCGAGCGTCGTGTTGAAGTAGGGCTTCTCCGGCGCGGGCGCGGGCGCGGGCGCCTTGGCGTCGTCGTCGTCGTCGTTCGCGTCGCTCTCGTCGCCCGCGTCGCGCCGCGCCAAGCCCGGCGGCACGGGCACCTGGCCCGGCGGCAGCTCCGTGCGGCGGAACGACGCCGCGCGGGGCGGCGCGCCGCGCTTCACGAGGGGGTCGTCCTCGGGCACGCGGGCCCAGTGGTCGAGGCACCGCGCCGAGTGCGCGAGCATGCAGTCGACCTTGAGCGCCGCGAGCGCGAAGTTCGCCGCGTTGTCGATGAGCTCGTCGTCGTCGTCCGGATCGCCGTCGCCGTCGCAGACGTCCTCGATGTCGAAGTGGACGCGGTCGACGTCCTTGAGCACGACGGGCGCGTCGCCCCCGGCCGCGTAGCGCCACAGGTCGTGGAACTCCGTCTTCGACAGGCCCGGCTTGTCGCAGTCGAACTTGTAGAAGAGGTGGGTCAGGTTCTCGCAGTGGCGGCTCAAAGCCTCGGAGCCGTGGACGAGCACGGTCCAGAGCGCGTCGTCCAGGTCGACGAAGTCGACGCTCCGGATCGTGTTCCGCGTGTCCGTCGTCCGCGGCGCGACGCGCGGCAGGTCCGCGAAGGCGAGGAGCAGCTTCTTGATCTCGGCCACGGTCATGACCTTCTTGAGGTCCTC